AAAAAAAGGCCCCCCGGTTGGTAAAATCCAAAAAATAACGATCGTTGGTCGCTGGGGGTTTTCATTACTTGTAAAAATCAATTAATAATATTTTATTTTTTTTTTTTTTTAAAAACAATTTTTTTTTTTTTTTTTTTTTTTTTTTTTTTTTTTTTTTTTACGTACGGATGTCCCTTTCAAAAGTTTTCTCCGTAGGGAACCCCTGTCAAGATTGCCGGCAGCTATTTATTGCTTGGCTACCACCTGTCAAATGACTTCAAGATGTATATACTATTGCTCCTTATCTTTAATACTACATTTCGCAACCAAATGTAATACTGGTATAATAATAAAAACTGTATTTAAACCCTTTCCTTTAATTTTTAATCATTTCTTTTTGCAGAGTTTTATGATTTATTTTTAAGGAAGTATATTGTATTAAAGCATTAGTTAGAATAATATAAGATACCTACTTTAAATAAGTAAGCAGCCGCCACCAAGCATGGCCCAAGCTTGTCAGGAGTGACAGGGGTCTCCCTATGGAACAAACTTTTGAAAGGGACGCGAGGGTACCTGACCTATTATCACGCGTCGCGTAACATCGCGTTATCATTAAAGAAATGTGAATGATCCTAACAATATGAAGTTGCAACAGATTTCTGTCTTTTAACGAACATGAATTATTCCTTCAAGTTAACAGGATATTGTCTCGATAGTGACCTTTTCGTAATGCAACTAGCTGTAAAAACCAATTGCCATAAAGCAGCACTTAGTAACTTAAGTTGTCACATATAACCACTGTATCAGTCGTTAAATCTGTCATGGTTACTTAATAGACATTTGCTTTGGTGCTACCTATGTGTATGATAGTAAGACTATGCTACGTATGCCTCAGCCGCCTCATTAATTTCGCGAATTGACTGTTTCAAACTCTCTCTAGCAGCTTGAACAGTCTTAGCATTCCGAGGTAACTCTTCTAGTGTTTTAGATAATATCGACGATAGATAGGAGTAGTTTTCATGCTTAATCTTGCCTTGTCGGTACTCATTGCTGATGACTTTGCTCATCAACAGTACGGAGTCAATAACACGATTAGGGTGCGGGTCAAGAGCTATAAGCGATACTGTCATTTGATCTTGAGGGCTATTAGCCCTACTGGGGCTCGTCATGTCCGATTCTTGACTATGTCGGGATATAGTATAGGTGTTCTCTAAGCCAAACTTAAGATTATTGAAGGATTCGCGTTCAGCATCCCGTCTCAGTTCGGTTATTTGTGATAATAGGTCTGAACGATCCGCCAACAGAAGCGAATTGCAGAGTATGAGTATACCCAAATTATACCGTGAATTGATCTCATACCAGGCCAGTCGGCTTGATTGACTCAAGAAGTGAAGCCGCCTCTCGAGGATATTGAGCAAGGGGCGATTTGAAGTTTTGAAGACATCAGAAGAACCCAGGAACGCATTCCATGCGAATAAAACTGCTTCTTCTTCTACTCCTTCTCTTAGTGCTTCCTTTATTGATGTAATATTCTTCCAGATATATAGCATACTGATAGCCGCCCCGGCGATGATCTGGGAAGCTATGTCGTCGGATATATCAAAACCACTACTACGCCAGTCATTTGCTCTGGTATGGAAAGACCCTAGGAATGCTCTAACTAAGCGCCACGCAGGCTCAGAACATGCCCCATTTAACCCGGATGTTAATGATGTTCTAAGGTTCAAGGTCAAAGAGTTTGATGTGTCCCAAACCACTGCTGCCCAATAAGCCCGGCTCTCAAAGTCCAGATATGCTTCCGTAAAGTTGAGATCAGGAGAGGAGCTAACTATTATATCAGCCCAAGCTGACACCTCTGAGGCGCGGAATTGATGGCTTCGTTGCCGCTCTCTGAGCCTCTGGATCTGTAGTAGAGCGGTCTGGATACATACTAATCCACTGATACCGTTCAGCTCTTCCTCCTCGGAGATTCCTATAGGTACGGGGGTCTGAGAAAAAAGATACAACGTGAGGGCAGACCGATAAGACGTGCGGTTCACGACTTTCAGCATATCTTTCCTTGTCATGCGCCAGCTTTCCCTGATGAATTCTTCGACTTGGCTCGTCGTAAAGTGACTTCTGCTCGATGCCAGCGGGAGCCAATGTGCTGCAAAAGACCGAATCGTCTGTTTCAGAGACTGATCGATCTCAATGTCCCTTTCCTGCTGTGCCTGGACCTCAAGCCCGGAATTAGGGGTTTGGCGACCAGCCGCGTCGTCCATGTCAGCGTCAAGCTTCCTGAAAAGCTCTGTCGGAGGGATGCAAACTTCACTTGTTGGATTATTCCTATCATTGTTAGGGGATTGCTGACTTCTTTTAAGTGGCTATCCATTACACGTACACGAATGGACAGCCATTTCTACCAGTTATGAGGCCGAAAAAGGTTCCAAACCCATGGAGAAAGATTTGGTCACACCAAGACGTTAGAAAGACGCCTATGGACTCTGCTTGTGGATCGAGGGGTTCAATCGAGTGTGCGTTTGGCTCGTCCAGCGGCGTTACTCGGTCCGCGTCATATTGATCATGAGGACTGGTATTGTTACCGCTCTGAGAATTTTGGGTAATGGCTTGATCGCAACTCTGTTCGTGTGTAGAGATGAAGAACGCTTGGCCATTAGATTCACAGGAAATGGTAGGATCCGTTTCAGTTGAAGAGTGAGACACCGCTTCTCTGTATGGGTTTAGAGGTTTCCTCTTCGCGGCGTTAATCCACTGGATATAATTAGTCAGACATTCTTATGTATGAAAAGCACTGTAGCCCATTTACCTCAAACGTACATGGTCGCCTTTTAAGAGTGCACCTCGAACATGAACCCGCCCAACTCACTTTACCGGGTTGGTAACCTCGTTTTGAGGCGTCGCAAGCAACTCGTGAGCGACGGCAAGCATCGCAACTAGAAAATTGGGTTCTTTTTTGAGAACTAGTACTTGGCATCTTCTTTACATGTAAATATAGGTACCTATACCTAATTCAGGTATGTTGATCGCCTCGAGGAGGCATCCGGATTAAAGATAAAAAGGTGTAAGAAGGAAATTATTGGTATTTCTGGCTTCATACAGGTGACCTCAGCCCAGATTTCTCGATATTGGTTCGGGGAAATGTACCCCCCACAGCCACACCCCTTCCCAACCAATCACAACCCTCCTCCGCTATGGTAATTTTAGCGCTTTAAGGTATCACCTAAGAGATAAATCTTACAGGCCTGTGATGTTTGTAAGCATCTTTTGACGGACTACGGAGAGAAGTAAAGACAACCATCTCTTCCCACACGTTGTTTATTTTCTCTTAGTATGAATCTAATACTCGGTATCTACACTTCGCCAAAGAGCAAACACTTTCTAAGAAGCTTCACTGTTGAAATTTCTCTTGCCGAATACTCATCGTCCCCTTTAAACTACTACGTAGGTACCTTACAAGAAGCTCTCTACCAACTTCCTCAGCTCAGATTCACTCAGTTCCTTTATGCCTAACAATTCATTGTCCAAGTGACTTGAGAAATCACAGCCATAGTCGGGATTGAACATGCCACATAGGGAAAACCCGAGTGCTGCAGCCTCCACGCCTCCCTTGGAACCTTCAGCTAGCGCCGCTAAGCTTTCTTGTCTGAGATCTTCCGTGTCCTTAACAACCGTATTCCATTCTTTCCCATCCTTGTCTTTAACATACTGAATTAGCTGGTTTTGAGTAATAAGTGCCGACTGGATGTAGACCACGCGGCTTGCTGTCTCGTCCTGATGTGCAATAACACCCAAAACAGCTTTCGCGATGTCGGAGAGAAGCGAGGCACTGAACTTTACATCGCCGCCGTTATATAGAGTTGCAGTATGCTCAGGTATGTTCAGGATAATCTTCTCCTCGAGGCACCAATCCAGAAACAGGCCGTTGGCAATCGCAGTGTAGGTAAACCCGGGATTGGATCTGGATTTCTCCCGGAGGCGTTGCTGCGTTTTTGCCTTAGACACGCCTACGATGGGGAGCTGCCTACATAGAGGATTCATAGAGTCTATGCCGAACTCGGCTGGGATGAATCGCCTCACACCTGCCGCTGCGGCGGCGTCGATTGGGGGATCTTGGTCACCCATCGCCAATGTCGCCACACAAGAGACAACAACTTGAACTCCTACTAACGCGGGGGTTAAGGACTCAACGGAGCTGAAGTCGACCTCTTTTATGGTGAGGTTAGGGTGGGGCTTCAACTTGGATGAATTCCCACCTATACGTGAGAGGGCCGTTACGTTGAAGTCCGAGCTGAGGAGAGCTTCGAGAACGGGAGTTCCAATGTTTCCCGTGGCACCAGCGAGCGCAACCCGACTAGAAGGCATTTTCTTAGCTTGTTGAATACACTTAGATCTGGATTCGGAAGTTAAAAGAAGAGAATGGGTTGATTTGAAAGGGAAATATGTCTTATATTTTAAAAATCCCCCGTAATATACGGGCTGCCCAGTAACGTTGATAGCTTCAAATTATCGACAGGAACTCTTTCGTCGGGTGTTAATGATGATAAAAATGATTCATAGACTCCCAAGTATTCCATTCGTGTATTTATAGATTTTAGAACAGCAATACTAGCAGCCATGAGAGGGGAAAGAGTATCGGTTCCGAAATACAGGGGTATACCCGGAACCGTTGAGTGCTCTTCCCACGTTATAAAGTAGTATTAAATAAGATGACGCATCAACCAGGACAATTGTTCCATGCCTTAACAGCGTACCAATCCTTTCACTGGTATTCATGCAGTGTGTCTATGTGATGTGAGGGTGGATGAGTCGAAGCCGCAACTGGACGAAGGGCTTAGGCGCTGATTGTTCCAGAAGTTCCGGCCAAGCGAGAAAATCCGAGCTTGTAATATACTAGGAGTCTACGAATATGATTTTTTTTTTTTTTTTGCTCCGTGTATATAGCAAAACCTAACGATCGTAACTAACTGTCCGAACGATCCTATACCTTAGATAGGTATTCGTACCCGGATATGCCTACCATCGTCGGATCCGGTCGGAGTACACATGATAAGCGGGTCCGGTCCCTAGTAACGGACATGAACCAACCGCCCGGTCTATTTATTTTCAATTGCGCATAAATGCTCGGATATGTTAGGATTCGGCCTCACCAAGGAAAGTATTACTAACATACCACGTGGCCCTAGTCTTGCTCCCTAGCCCTTCTTATATGAATACTCTGAATTTGGCTGTTACCTATCATCTCCGTACGGGCCATTTGCCAATTGGACTTCATAGCAACTTGGTTTCCTACATTTCCGACCTTATACGTCTCCATTAAATGCAGCATAGAGGTTTCTAATAGAATGAAGATGAAAATTAGTCCTAGGATGCCCACCTACTTCCTGTACTATAGCGGGCGGGGTCCAAGACTCTATCCCATCCACACACCGTTAATCATTTCTGAAGGGAACGATGAATCCGTCGCCGGCCGTTTCTGAGTGGGCTTGGAACCAACTTCTGATCGACAACGGGTTTTCTGGAAATGACCTCACGATTGGGAACTACCAAGGGAGTATTTATAACGCCCTTTCACTGATGATATCAACAGCTAAGGCATGTATAAAAAAGGCCACTCGGAAACGCATGGTCTTGATAATTATCAATAAGAAACCGAAAGATGAATTCGACGCCAAATTGGCTCTATGAGTTATCAGATGTCTCTGCCCATGCCCTGACCGACGTTTCCGAGACTCGGTTCCTTCCCGACGGTTCCGGCGTTCGGATCCGAGACCCACATTTAAACCGGGGCTTGCAATTTAGTCCCGAAAGCTACGGATCCGTATGAAAACACCTTCCTGGAACTTCTTCCTATTGTCTCTCGGCTACTTTAGCATAACACTTTAAGCAATGATTTGTCTGATTACCATCGTACACCTGCCTTAGAACGAGTTTAGATCCCTTGGTAATAATGATTAATGATTAGTAATTATTACTTAGGGGTATGAGACTTATTAGTGTGGGAAGTATGTAGTTGCGCGGGCAATACCCCGCCTTTTATATTAATACCCAACGGGTGCACACATATTCGAGGCCATCATCGCGCAGATATTAGGAGAAACAAGATCTGTGAAGCCCGAGTGTCTCAAAGATATCCGACTTAAAAATCCAGGAACGCCCCGTTAACCTTAGCATGCTCGTCAGGTATCCGGCAACAAGTGCTTAATACAATCTTCTACGTTTGAAGCATGCTATTTTCCAAGTTTCCCTATCCTTTTCAGTCAATCTAGTACCTACAGGCACCTAATTAGATAGACATACAGTACATTCTAAAGTTCGTTAGAGCGGCCAATATGTCATCTCTAAAGACTTTCACACTCTTTCCACGCTTGCCGCCCGAGATACGTTTGGCGATTTGGTGAGTCATTCTCCTTCTCGTCTGAAGTAACCTTATGCCGTATCTTCTCGACCCGACATTGGATCGACCGAAAACCTGAATTGCTCTATCACAAAAGGGATGATTTAGTGTGTTAACGCATAAATATAGGAACCTTTCTATTGTTGCGTGTCTCTCCGACCCAGCTATATGCGTGTATAGACCTGCAGTATTAATACGGTCCTCTGAGAGGGTGTTTCCCACCAGCCGTGAGATTTCGTTACCGATGCCGGTCTTTATGCAAATTTGTCAAGAGTCTCGGTCCGCTATGCAAAAATCAACCATTGCCGTGTTTGATATCGACCAAAATGGGGCTTGGCTTAATTCTCGCCGCAAATTCTGCCCCGACGTTGATATTCTCTGCGTTGGATTCTTTGAGCTTTTTTGCATAACCGGACACAACGCAATACGATTCATCGGGCCAAACGTTCACCGTTCGGTACAGAGGGAACAGTCCCTTACGGACTGTAAACAAGGGCCGCTCCGTTGTGGCGCTTGTGACGATAGCCGTAATGGATTCAGATCAAGATTGTTTGCCAAAATTTGGCATTTGAATGAAACAGTTCCGATGGGGTTGAGAGGGGCTCCAGAGCTTTTATTTCTTTTTTGTCCAGTCGCCAAAGAACATGGCTCCGCTAGACGGACCGCAATATTGTCGGTCACAGCGTTGCCAAAATCTTGCTTGTTCAAGAAGATGTCTAGAGACCCTACGTTGATTATTGGCGGGGATGACTCGGAGTGGCAGTTCGCTGTCCCCGATTTTGAATTCTTTGTTCTTCCACGAGGGCGCTGGCCTGCCTAATTCACTAGTATCCCTTTCGGCTTCTTTTATTCATAGATGCCTACGTATTTAGGTAACTTTGGAATTATTATCTAGTTATCTCTTCGTAGCTGGGGCCAATATTCATGCGTCAAATATGTCTCTATGGAGAATATGAATAGGAGTTTCCCAATAGACAGCCAGTTGCGACTCCTGCGTGGCTCAATGACACATGTGAGGTGAAAGGGAAGAGGATCATGTTTAAGAAGGGGAGTTATATAGAGACGTAAACAGGGGTAAGTTTAGGTAGTTATCTTATCATAACGTTAAGGGGTTATATATCAAAGGGTCAAGCTCCCTTCATTCTATCAAAACCGATACATAATAATTGAGATAATTAACAGCATTCCATATTCTCGTTAGACTTTCCTGGCACTGTGAAAAATAGCTTCGAAGAAATGCCAGCCGGTCAGCCCATGAAACATTGCAGGTAAAAAAGAAGCGGCATATGTAAGATCAGAAGCGCGAATTAATCACCTGAACTAAGTCCAATACGAAGTACCTAAGTACATGGATAGCGTAACAGTGGATCGCGTTCCTGCATGATGCGCATCCATTTTTAATCTTCGCCGTCTCCGGTGTACATGCAGGCACGGTACGCTATACAAGCCTCGTTTCGCAGTACTTTGCGGGGTTTCTTCAGAACTTTCAGGGGAATAGCAACAATTAGTGGACCTTGCATAGTCTAGGATTAGCTGGATCGGTGGATCGGTGGACGCGATGGACCTATGGCGTGCCATATCTTCCCTAGCTTATCTGCTTACATGTATGTACCCATTTTATTGTTCCCATCTCCTTATAAAGAAGTTTCCATGTATTTCATGGATCGGCCGGAAATCCTCTTCTAGATTGTTGACATTCACCTTGAAATCTTCTTGTCTTCAACTTTTCGATAGGAGAGACTACAGCTTCAATTGCCTAGTTATACTCGATTGAACTGTTTCACCTTCTCTAGGACCCTATATGGTAACAGACTAGACTCCTTATAAACCGTTTACTTTGCTAATTCAGCTTTCTACTTCAGGCAGTTAGGTGTTGATACGCGACCTCGAGGCTTTTCCTTAACTCGTTCCGAGTCTTCCGTATCCCCCTTCCTGCTCCCTAATCTGAGATTCAGCTACAGAAGACGTGGCAATGTACGCGTCTAAGTCAGCTGTCGGATCAGCACTGCTGTTCTCCTTGGCTTCTGCCATGCCGAATCTTCATCCTAGACAGACAGATTCCGCCCTCGAGCCGTGGGTAACCGTTAACGAAGATGGCAAGCCGAGTACTGTTACGCCCGTTCTTAGCACCATCAGCGGAACTCCCACTGTTATATCAGGTGCTCCTCATGATCTGACCGCAACTGTCTTTACCGAGACCAACTACGGAAAGGTTTCAACGAGTACTGGCACCGCTCCGATTGCTACCCCAACCGGTGGTTCAGCTGGAGCTGGCTCGTTCCCTGTCTGCCACAACAAGGATGGTGACTATGCTCCATGGTGTCAACCGACCCAGGAGACACCATTATATGTTGGTACTACATATTACTGTATGCTAAACCACTCGTATACGAGGAGACATACAACTGACTAATTCGTTCAACAGTTACTTGGGACACATCGTACTTCCCCGTTCCAAACACGACAATCCTAGTCCAGGGTAACTATCTCAACGACACAACAGGGGAAATCACCGACCAAGCTTTCGAGTCACCTAAGTGGTCCGCATCTTGGGGTTTCTGGAGCTACAAGATCGAAAGCAGTCTATTGAAACATCAGTCTGGCAAGAATATCACCCTACAGCTTGCCACCTTAACCGCGACAGGCAATTCCAGCGATATCATCCCAGGTCCTACTATCCTAGTTACGGACTACCCTGGACCTCAGCCGGAAACCGGCAAGACGCCCGACCTGCGCGCATTAGCAATCGCCCTACCAACTGTGCTCGGTTTCGTTATTATATGTGTTGTTGGAACTTGCCTATGGCACAGAAGAGATCGCCAGATCGGCCTCGGAAACATCATGTCTCGCAGCAGACATGGATATGGTGTTGGCAAGAGCTCGCGATCCCGGATGGGCCTCGGCAAGAAGAATAAGGCTAACGAGCGCATCCAATTGATGCAGCGGGAGATCGAGGCCGATGGAGGCGAGGTCTACCACGACGAGCCGGACCGCCCGCGACGGGACTCGGATGCTCTAGGTAGCCTAGCCGGGACGCCGACTGAGGAACGGCACATGGATTTCCGGGAGCAGCAAGACCGAAACATGTTCCGGGAGGAATTGAGAAGACAAAACGAGAGACCCTAGAGTGGTCTCTTAAATCATTTGCTTGGAAAATTGCACTACAAGAAAATCAATGGTGGATAGTAATGATACGGTACACCTCACCGTCACCATTGAACGAAGAAGCGTATATGTATATGATGATGAGTCTATTGCTGTATATATATATACCGAACCCACCCCAGCCACGATATGACTATTTCAGGAGGAGCTAGGGCTCGTAATGACTGGCTTATAGATCACGTTTGGTAATGAATCGAAATGAAATCAAGACGTTATTAATATCAAGGCAATGTTTACTGAAGACCGATAGAGGGATAAGCGTTTAACGCCAGCTGCCCTCCAAGATGTGCATACAACACGTTGCTCCCTTCTCCTATCTCTCCCTTCCGAATCAAATCCATCATGCCTGCCAAACTCTTACCTTCGTACACGGGATCCGTAATGAAAGCCTCGGTCTTAGCACCAAACTTGATCGCGTCCAGCGTCTGCTCGTCCGCGATCCCGTACACGCCGGCATGGTACCTATTATCTAGTTCGATGTCTTCCTCCGTGATATCACTCTCCTCTAACCCGATCTTTACAGCTGTCGCCTTGACTATCCGCAATACTTGGTCAAAAGTCTGCTTCACCTTGGCAGATGCATCGATTCCAATTACACGCCGTTTTCTGGAACCAAGCTTCTTCTGCGCCAGCTTGAATCCGGCTACCATACCCGCGAATGTGGAACCTGTCACCGCACACACGATTATCGTGTCGAAGAATATCCCCGTCGCGCGCTCCTGTGCCTCGACTTCAAAGGCCCAACGTGCGAAGCCGAGGCCGCCTAACGGGTGGTCTGATGCTCCTGCGGGGATGTAATAGGGCTTGCGACCAGCGGACGTAAGTTCGGCCTGCAGTTGTGCGAGCGTGGGTTTATGCTCGATACCGAAGGTAGTTGCGGGCTCGAGACGCGCATCTGCTCCCATGAGCCGCGAGAGTTGGATGTTGCCGACGGAGCTGTAGAGGATCTCATCTGGGGATCCAGGAGGGAGATTTACCCAGTGCTCTTGCACCAGAGCACATTGGAGACCTAGTGCAGCGGCTACGGCGGCGACTTGTCGGGTGTGGTTTGACTGGACGCCGCCGATGGAGACGAGGGTGTCGGCACCTTGGGCTAGGGCCTCTGCGGCGAGGTACCTGTATGATTTATGAGTAAGTGTATCTGTGGTGTATATGACTTGTGCAGTTGTTGATTCAGTAATGGGCCATAGACACTCACTCGAGCTTCCGCGTCTTGTTCCCACCGTAGGCAAGTCCGGAATTACAGTCATCGCGCTTGGCATAAACATTTACTTTACCACCCAGCGCAGCAGATATCCGTGGCAAGTGCTGGATAGGTGAGGGTCCGAAGAGGAAGGACTCCCGCGGGATGCTGGCGAAAGGCTCGGGCAAGCGGAGGTCAAGATCAACCATTTTGAAGCCCGACTAGATAATGGAGCGATATCACGGGTTTTATTCGATTTTGATAATGAACAGTGATGGCTTCTGGATTACAATTACTCCCATTCTAAGTGCATTTCCTGCTTACCCTTGATATATAAGTAGGTACATATCTCGGTAGAGCTCATGACCGAAGTCGGATACTAGTAGTGGGTGTAAGACGGAGCGGAGAGATGCCAATAAGAGATGCCAATACTCTCCACTCCTGATCAACTCTGGGCATCCCACCAACCAACCAATGTCAAGCAGCCAACCGATTTTAGTAATGCTACTTTATATATATAGGTCCTTTTATGTAATCATTTACCGCGTATCTATCTTGCGTGATTGCATTATCTAGATACGATCTAAGGAGATCGTAGATACATATCTTAGGTACTTATCGAAACGTAAAGGGATATGGTCAGCACTGGTAAACAAATGTTCAAAGATTTTTGTGTTCAAATTAGGAACCTAAAGGGATAGTGAGATGAGGGAGAACAACCTGCAAATGGATAAACATTGCCCCTATTGCTCTCTATCCGCTGTTAGTCATTAAGCCATTGATCCTATGATTGATCTTGTTATACACACATCGTCTGAAAGTATCACTTGCCATGCAAACAAATGTGTTAGCGTTGATTGTTGAAGTTAGTCATATTAGCATTCTATCATATGCCACAGTGAATGATGTGTTCGTGAAAGGTACATACCAATAGAGCGTTCAGCATTTCTTGCTCACTAGGCCAGTCATAGCAAAGCTTTGAAATCTATTCGGCAGGACATTCAGGCGCCAGTTAATTGGCGCAATGGAATGATAGAAGTGTGAGGTTGCCCGGCAGTTGCTGAGTACTTAAAGTGACTTAACCCCCTGAATCCACATGCAGGCCATGGGGATGACTTACTAGGTACCTTATATATCCAACTTGCAAGAAAACATCCCTAACAGCCACTCACAATCAAGGCATATAATGTAGCTACCTAAATCAGTAGTCGTATTAGCAGCAGTCGCTGTTGCTTGCATACGACTAGCGCCTAAAACCCAATGACAAAGTCCCAAAATACGATTACCAGATCACGGAGCAGTTCATAAGGATTTTCGTCCCATCCCAATTCACCAATACATATCATTAGCCAGTCATTTGTCCTTACACTACCCTTTTTCAGTATCCATATGATGAAGCTTGATCACAAGTAACGAAGCGATTCTGAATGTGAATTTTATCTAGTTAAATGCCATTGCTATCTATAAATATTGTCTCGCAAGTTACCGAGAACCGTGGTAATCTTTTTCTCTTGCAACCATTATCAGTCCAAGAATTCTTAACCAGCATCTTCATATCAAGCGACAGCTATCAGGCATCATGAATTCAACTGTACGTGCACATGCTGAGGGTTTCTATCCTATTCTTCCCGTTGCTGACCTCCACTAACTTTCAATATAGAAGGCAACAGCATTAGATGTCCTAGTCCCCTCTACTCCAGGACAACTTGTCACCCATGAGTAAGTTTCCCTGTTCAAGGACTCCCCTTTTCGTCTTTTACATATACCTACAACAATAGATAACTGTGGCTAACCAAAAACCCCAGAATCATCCTTGTACATGGTTTCAAAACCCGTTCGGACGACCAGAAACGCCTTGCAAAATTCAAACATTTGCTCGAGAACTGGGTTACGGTTGCTACCGATCCTATTCGCAACCACGTCAACGTTCGCACCTTCGAATTTGATGGCGCTTACGTCCTACATAATGGACGACATGGTCTATCTCAGACTACCATTGAGCTATCACAACAATTTGCAGTTACAAGCGAGGACTCCTTCTCGCCGTTGTTCCGCCGGAGAACAACGGAGGGCAGTCGCAACCGCGTGCCCCGGGCTGCCGTATTTGTCGCTCACGGATTAGGCACCTGGGTTGTGAAAGATTTCTTGGTGCTCTTCCGCGAAGCATCTAACCGTGTTGACCCTACAGGGTTGGTATTTCTTGACGCACCAGAGATGCCTCCTCACATGACCCCTGTCGATGTACGATCTGAGTCTGCCGTATCCCAATATCTCTACGATCTTACAGAGATATACAAGCTCCAGGCGCTGCCATTGAAGATCCACGAACTCCAAGAGAAATTGCGAGTGATCGACATGAACTTCAGGCAGCTAACGAATTTACGCTATGGGGTTTGTGAAGAGATCAAAGACGCCGATGCGGATCGCGACGAGTACACTATGAAGATGTGGTATGATAATGTTTGGATGTGCTCCAATCCTCCTCTTACGATTGATTCCGTGAGTTTACTAACTTTCTTTGTGTCCCATTACTTTCTCTTCCTCTACATTCACCCAAATATCATACTAATAAATTCTCCAGTCAGTTATCAAGACGTTTCTTCGAGGAGCCCAAAGTATGATACGCTTCAATAAAGCGACAAAGATGGAAGAACAGCTGAAAAAGCTTGAGCGGCTCAAACTACCACAAGTCCTTCAAGAGGCAACCACTTGCCAAGGAGTTTACGATCTCCAGCCTAATGATATTGATCCCAACACCGATCCTAACGCAAGCCCTAGCATGAGCAGCAATGGGAAAGGGAAACGTAGGTCCAAGAAATAGTCTCGTTAAACTGCTCCGATATTAATCCGTTTGCTAATAACTACTTCATTATAGAAAAAGCGGCCTTGCCTTCTGACTCGCCTGGAAAATATGGTATCCTCAGACCCTCGAACTCCATGACGCCTCTCCCTAAGATTTCCGAGGAAGTCGAAGCCGAACACCGCCCAGAACAAGCCTTCGGCTTTCGTCTAGAAACCAAAGCTAATGAAAGCCATGGCGACAATTTCTACGATTTTGACGACGCCATAGCCCAGCGAAACGAGGCAGTGGAAGCAGGAGATCAAGAGGCGCTATCGGCCGCGCAGTCCAGACTGCAGCTTGTCAAATGGCACCAGGACCAGAATCTTGGCAAGAACCATCCCAAAGTCCTCATTACGCAACGCGAGATAATCACCACGAGCCTCGCGTCTGGAATGTGGAACGGCAAGCCCATCGAGAATTGGACGAAGAAGGACTTCTGCGAGATAGAAGACGAAATGCGCCACGCCTTCGAAGCCTTGGAAGAATACCTGGGCCCTCTTCACTTCGAAACCCTTGAAGCACTTGTCGTGTTATTCAGCGTGCGGGTGTCACTGGTGAGGAACAAGATGGTCTCCTGGATTGCTGTCGCCGCAATGCTGGACATGATAAATGACCGACTAGATCACCGGATACCGCTGACGCCGGAGACGATGCTCGACACATTGCGCATCAAATACAAGGTTGCGTTGACCCTGGCCCAAATCTCAGATCGCGGAGATGCGATGCTGGGTGATATACTGAAGGATACGGAAGCCCTTCTGGTCACTATAGGCAGGGAGTACGTGGCGGACTTGACGATGCTGCGGTTCAATATCCTGGCGAGAATTTCCGAGTTGCGGGATTTGAGGGACCAGGCGAGGGCGGCAAGAGAGGAGGAAGGATCGAATTAGATATAGACGCGGACTATTTTCTTTCAAAGCTTCAAAAGGGTGAAATTCACTGATACCCCATAAGGTTCACAATTAGGCTGAGCCCATATTTCTAGTTTCCAAGGCGAATTTGATTTTACTGATTTTACTTAATTGTCATGTATTTCCTTTTGGTGAATTAATGTGCTCCTCTTTCGATGCCATGGCCCTCATGTCCCGAGATCCGTTAATGTATTATTGCAATTGTCCTCCAAGACATGCCGAGCCACGCTGTAGCCCTCACCTATTATATCACAGTGCTTTATGCTTTCTTCATGCACATTCCCGAGCTTCGATTGATTTGAAGGAGTGAAAGCTCACAGATTTGCCCTTTTCACATGGTACGCAGCTAGATACTAGGTAGTAATAAGGAATAAAACGATGACTAGGGACTATACAGGTGACTCTTTTTAATTATTTCTATAATTATATGGTAATGATTACCATTACTACCTATGTACCCAGTTGTGTGGACTCAGAATTACTTAAACCTTTACGTATCTGACGATCCTAACTGCTGTGTTGGACTTCTCCTATTTCCTTGGCGTATAAGGACCATCCTTTGAAAGGCTGATCAATTATTGATAGTTCACCCAGTCCTTTTATATCCTTGTAAATGAATACATCAAAGCTTGTGTGTGCTAAGCTAGCTTTCTGTGTTTTGATATTCTGATTCCTACAGAGAATAATGATTGTGTCAATGGCTATATCAATAGGAAGGGCGACAGCAGAATGGTTAAAATATCCCCAGGATCTAGAGCTGGTCATAGCATGCAGAAAAAAACAAGATGTGATGAGCAAACATGGTCGTAACATCTATTTCATGTTTAGCCCCTACTGCGTATGAGGCCACAACCCACGTATATGGCGTCAATGTGGGTTTGGTCTTTAGTGTACCTATGAAACGACCACCTTGTCTCACTCAAATATTCTTCACGTACGTTAAAGAACAAGGAATCTAATCACTGACCCAATTTGGCAATGCATGAAAGAATCAGAGCCTAGGGACTTTGACCACAAATCTCATATGATTCAGACTACTTATCTACTATCTGCGGCTGAATAGAAGTAGTCTCAACTAAGGCCTTTTTGATGGTTTTTTTGGTGTTTAAAAGACTAGTTCACTTTCACTACCAAAGCGAATCCATATCGTCCATAAAGGGGACATAAATCACTCTTAAGGCTTAGGCCACCCAAGCTTCCGCGATAAAGGGACACGAGTTACCCTTGGGTCCTAGACAAGACTCCTATTTCTTGCCACCACTGCTGCTGCTACTACCTCCATATCCTGACGAGGACGTGTAGCCCGACGAAGAGGTGTAGGTTGAGCCGCCCTGACCGTTGTTGTAGTAGGTAGAGCCGTTAGGGTTGGAGTAATAGTACGAGCCATCCCTACGTTCATATAAGGCCTAGATTAGTATCTAGAATCACGCGAGGTTTCCATGTACTAGGTATACTAGAATAAGAAAGCCCTTGCGGGCAGATATAGGAACAGGGAGAGAAATAGAATTATGACCTACTGGTTGGAGTAATGGTATGAGTTCGAGTTCGAGGCACTGCTGCCGTAGTCACGGGCACAGTAATGATTACCCTGGACAAAGTTAGCTTGGATCAGAATTATCCCCCAAGACCTGAGAAATGAGGAAGGGTGAAGAAGCCTAGATGTGAAAATACTTACCTGGCTGTTATAGCCGGAGCTCTTGTACTCGTAGCCTCTGTCGCTCATGGTGGCAATGAATGATGATGAGTAGTGGTGGTATGAAGAGGTCTTGATGAAACCTAGGAAGGGATTTGGGAATGGTAGAGTAGATGACGCCCAAGAAGGGTTCAAGCTGTTGGCAACTAAGGGAAAGGAAGAAAAGAGGGGGGAAAAGGTTGTATTAATAGTGGTAGATAACGACCCGTTGAAGTGGGGAGGATGTCACGACCTGGTATTGCGACTGCGATACGGACCGCGGTATGGGGCCTTAACGAGGGGTATCCCTACCGGAGATTCTTCAAACTAGTAAATACAAAACTGAGGCTAAGGACAGAGCGGCGTGTTTGTCGGTGTGCTTCTAGTGATTTTGCCTTGAAAACAAAGAATATGGAAGCTACCTAATGTATAGCAGAAATACCAATGAGTAATGTATTCAATAGTTGGCTTTTTTGGACGAAATATGAAAACGATGTGTCACTGTGGGAAGACACTACCCCGCGCTCGTCCGTTCAGAGAGAGACTATCGCGATTGAGATGCAGATACCCAGGAGGAGTAAAACATTCCAGCCAGTCATAAACGTTTAGTCACATGGAGGGCTGGTCATTGGGTTCAGCTAAGATAGCAAGCAAGCAGGGCAGCAAGAGTATCAAACAAGAGCAAACGGCCACACCAAGGTTGAGCTGTTCTTAATTCTGTCTATCTGGTATCTGTCTAATGTATCGAGACTGTCAACACACGCGCTAATATAGAACTCTATGCGGTGGTATCAATTACATCTTCGCGGGTATGAGTTACCTACTCGGCTTTGCCCTGAGCAGCTCCCTCTCGCTCGTCTACTTCGAGTTCCGCAAGGTACTTCTCCGCATCCAGGGCAGCCATGCATCCGGTACCTGTCGATCATTGATGTCAGCACGAAATCCACACTGTCTTAGATAGATATATAGGTATATATATAGGGGTAAATGGCAACGTACCTGCGCTAGTGATAGCTTGTCTATATCTCTTGTCTTGTACATCACCAGCAGCGAAAACACCCTCAACGCTTGTTGCCGGTGTTCCATTCTTGGTGATGATGTAGCCTTCCTCATCGAGATCCAGTTGTCCCTTGACCAAGCTTGTAGCCGGGTCGTGGCCAACGGCATAGAACAGCCCATTCGCCTCTATTAGCTGTCGCTTTCCGGTAACCGTATCCTCGATAACCATATGGGTCATCACCTTATCGTCTCCTCTGACCTCCACGCCCCTGGTGTTGAATTGGACGGTAACCTTGGGGTGTTTCAATAACCGCTGCGCCATGATACTGCTGGCACGTAGCTGATCTTTCCGCACCAATACCGTCACGTGGCTACCGTACTTTGTAAGGAAAGTTGCTTCTTCGGCAGCGCTGTCTCCGCCTCCAATAACCACTAGGGGTTTATTTCGGAATATCGGGACAGCGCCATCGCACACGGCGCAAGCGCTAATACCGCTTTGCCAGTATTTCTCCTCTCCCGGAAGACCTAGCCTCCTCGCCGAAGCACCCGTGGCGATGATGACGGAATCTGCGGTGTGCACCTCACCAGGAGACCATTCCGTCTCGTATTTGAACGGCCTCGAGGAAAGATCGAGCTTGGCTACTGTTTCGGTGATGATCTTGGTACCAAATCGTTCCGATTGTTGTCTCATAGCATCCTGTAGGTAGTGGAAGGATTTTCGTCAGTACGTCTAACGTGTAAAATATTCGTAGAGCGACGTGAAAGCACTCACCATTAGCTCGCTGCCCATAATACCCTTAGGGAACCCAGGGAAGTTCTCGATTTCGGTAGTAGTTGTTAACTGACCGCCGGCAGCAACACCGTTCGCCATAAAACCCTCGTAGAGAACTGGGTTCAACTCGGCACGAGCGAGGTAGATGGCAGCCGTATGGGCAGCAGGCCCAGAGCCGATAATAACAACTTTGCTGTGCATCTTCCTGGCTGCTGTCTGCGTTGCGAATTTGGTCGTCTGTCCTGTATATTTCTGTAGCCCCGCGGAAGCAAATGCTGCAACTGATATTCCGGATGCGCCTGCGCAGAGACTTCTTTTAATAGTTTGAGAAAACACTTTGGCGGATTTTATGTTGAATAGGTAGATGAATGGTTCAAATATCGGTACGCTCGGAGGACAATTCGGAAGAGATACGTAGGGCGAAGATTGTTGAGGCTGGGGCTGTCGTTATGCGTTATGCTGTAGTAAGACAGGCTGAAAATTTGCAATTATTTGCAATTATTTGAAATGCGGCTCTACATGTAGTTCCGAAAATAGTTCAAATTTGGAATTAGTTTCCTGATATCTATTTATTATACGAAAAAGTCAATATTTGTTATTTTAGCTCGTTAGCTTCACGCAGTCGATTCCAGAAGGCGCGAAAATAAAATAAATCCCCCGCATTATTCAGCAAGACCCGTGGATCCCTTAGCTAAAAGCACATGGGAAATATCGATCCGGACCGGAGCTGACTCGAGTCGCCCCACCATAAACCGATCTTCAAAATCATGCAATGGGTGGGTCAGGTTAAGGTACTTTATCTTATACATGCATATTCTAATCATCAAAAAAAGAAAGTCTGTCGTCATATGTTATAAATTAGATCTTATCTTAGTTGAGATGGTAATCTGTCTGTCTGTAAGTGATTGCGTATAGATTGATAAGACAAACTTCACGTCGTGTAGCGTAACTATCCCCGGTCGGTGTTCGCAACGGTCAGTTCATTCGCCGCGGCATTCCGGTCTCTGATGTAACAAAGCCCCTCCTCCGTCACCGGATGCGACCCAACGTGCCGATAGATATGATATTTATTTTTAGCTGTAACACCTATAGTAACCAGTTGAATCCATCATTGGTCTCATATGTATGGGTTAATTGATTTATGATCTGATCGATACACACCAATCGGCGCTTCTGCATCAACTATGGCACCGCAACAAGATATCCCGGTTGCCGCTAATGTCCTCGGCGTACGTTATTGTCATATGTGCAACCATTCGGAATCTAATAACTAAATACATATATCACCTACGTAGACTATCGGTACGATTCTGTGGTGCGTGCAAACAATACCTCAAATAGTACGTATATTGCCTAGCGATTAAGTAGGTGTCTGTAAGTTGTAACTGACTGGACGTCTCAGTGGACGAATTGGCGAACGAAGAAAACCGATGGACTCCCCGGCTCCATGATGTATCTATGGGCTTTATGTAAGACATTCCCCATCCACCACGGGTATGCCTCAAATATTGACTATTTCCTTACTTACCTAGGTGGCGTACCCTTCGGGGCTTATAACATCGTACAGAGGTTCAATTACCCCTTACAGGTGCAGCCGCAAGCCTTCATGGCCCTTTGCCTCGTGAACTGGTGTCAGATATTGCTATACAATAGTAAATGGCCTATGTGGAAGGTAGTTCTCATAGGGCTAGTCAATGCCGCGGCTTTTGCTGGTGTGCAAGCGGCCTTGATTGTCACACTGCGGGTATGTAGAATGAGTTGTCGAGTTAAACCCTGCGTGGCATAGACTAAACTAATATAGCCATTATACGACGCTGGTAATGGTACCGGGGTCTTGGTAATTGGTATAATTGCGAATATTCTCTTGGCAGTTGGCTTATTACCGCCATATGGCGAACTATGGAAGCGGAGAGGAAGGGTTATCGGGATCAACTTCGTCTTTTTGTCGAGTATGTATAAGTGAAAATCGCGATTATCTTTTTATCCCTATCTAGACCCCCTAGACTCTAGGTACCAAAAGGAGACGATCACTAATCTTCATCGGCAGTGGATTGGCTGGGTGCATTTTTCTCTCTTATGTCACTTGGTAATCTCTCTTGATGTCCTTAGATACCCGCGTGTTGCTTACCTTACCTTAGCTGCCCAGAACAGTTTCGACATCTTGGGTGGTGTGCTGTATATCGTATGGTGGGTGGTACCTAGCCTCTATTCATCGGGATTGGTGGCAAATCCTGTAGAGATATCAAGCTAACCTGTATAATAGTATCCTTCTTGAATCCGGTATATTCCTTTCTCATTTGATTTGGCTCTTCCGTACTCGAAAATTGAGAAAAGATGCGGCATCGAGAGGGAAGACCTTCGAGGATATTGTGGCAGAGCATGAACAACAAGGCATATCATTCAAATTCGCCGAACGAAGGCTCTTCAAGAAAAATGATGTAGAGACAGGTAATGCTGGACATTGTGAAGATCCCAGCGGCCAGACGCAGCAATATCCAATCACAACCGTCGTGCAAGACGGCGGCTTAGGAGGTCCTCAGCAAAGTTTGAATTCGGAGCTAGAAAGAGAGGCAAGCGAGAAAATGGGATAATCCATGTTTATAATTAAAGCAGAACTATAGTGGTGTGATATCTTGGTCCAAAGTCAACGCAAAAGTCGTACCTCATTATTATCATCCCCCAGTATTATTAGTCAACCACCTCACTAAACCACCTCCATGTATGTCAACTACTAAAAAAGGTAGCCATAAACTAACTCTGTGTTATTAGATGATGAATGATGAAAGTTTACTCGACAGAAGGCCCCTTCCCCTGAGCGCTCAAAGCTCCACCTTTACCGCCGTACTCAGCGGGAAGCTTCTCGCCAAGCGCGGGAACTTTGCTACCAGCGAATTCGTGGGCCAAGTTCCCACCGTTCGACATCGGGTGGAACTTCTTGATAGTCTTGGGGGCGACGAAGAGCTTCATAACACCGTACATAAAACCCATGATCGCAGGCACGTTGACAAAGAATTTCTCCTTGAGAAGCTCGGGGTAGGCCAGGGCGAACACGCGGATGGTCTCGGTGCTGGCGGCCTTGACCTGGGGCGACTGGCGCAGGAAGCTGATGGACTTGTAGTCGTGCACCTGGAAGATCTTGTACGGATCCCAGTCGGCTGTGATGGGTTTTGTGGCCGTAGAGAGAGACAGCTCCTGTATGGCGAGTTCCATGAGGGCGACGCGCCAGCTGATGAACCTAGTATATAGGTTAGAGGATTTATTCCGCTAGTTTTATAGTACGATGATATAGCCGATCTGCAATGAACGGTACGTAACTCACTCATCTAAAACGCCAAAGGTCTCATTGATCGACTTGACACCACCGTAGATGTTCCAGGTGAAGACCTCCCTAGACTCGGGGTTGTCATCGCCGGCCTTCTCATCGCCGGCGACATACTTGGTGACGTATCCAAGGCCCTCAAACTTAGCTTTTGAGAAGGTCTTCTCAAGGAGCTCCAATGGCTTCGTCTTAGCTCGCCATGCCAAAGTCTTTTCTAGCTGATCCCGGGCCTTGACAACGTCACCGTCGTTGGCGTTCAGGTACTTCTGTAGTACGATCTGACTGGGGACGTGAGTAGCCGGATCTGCTAGGGTGACGCCCCAGACTTCAGGATGAGACTGGGCTTGAACGACTTTCCATAGCTCTTGAATTGGCGTGGTGGGCTCGTCGGGCTTAGGAGCCTCGGTCTTTGGAGCTTCGGCCATGGTTGCAATATCGACAGTACAGATTTAATACTGCAATAAAATAAAAATCTGCTTTTTTACGGCTGAGATTCTGGTTTGCGAGGTATTAAGGATATAACCTAGAATGTAGTTAGAATGTAGTTGTAGTTGTAAATGATGTAAAGGCTTGCGCGGAAGTTCGTGGCTCGGCGATCCGATGAAGGTAGGCGGAATGTGGGTCCGTGCTTGTTTGAAGCTTCCCCGGCAGGCCCTGGCCAAAATAAATGAGCCACACCCACCAGCCACAAAATCCCACTTACAGACTCAACACCATAGTATAATCGTTGAACACACTACCTGATTATAAGACAATTATAGGTAGAAGCAATGCATTTTAAACGTTTTAATATGTAATCCTATATTTTCTAGCCAGTATAATACATCCCACCTATTTGGCATTGAATCCCAGTCCTTATTGGTGCGTTCATCGCTTAGATTCCAATAGCCCTTTTATAAGTATCGTTGATTTAGGGTAACTTTATATGGCAATTATAACGTAACCAATTAATTTGAAATAATAATAAAAATAGTATAAGAATTGCCTCCTTTTGCTCTATTTATTTATATAAGTTTTAAATGCTATTTACTATAACGTTGTGTGTAAAATCATATATGAAATCATTGTGTTTTAGTTGAAATTAGGTGGGCTTTAGTGGTGTGGCTCATTTATTTTAGCCAGGGCCTGCCCGGTTAGGGCATAGGACAATCAGATAATGCAGGCAGCTGCAGCTTAGACTTGGCACTGTTGGGGAAATTACTGTCCGACTTTTAGCCGATCTTACCTTTACGGCATGTTCCGTCCACTGGGGTCACAATGTCTGAATGTTGAACTGCTTCACAACCCGCCCAACCATGTTCTTAGGTTAAGGAAATTGCAACCAACGACGCATTCTATTGGGATATGAGTAAAATTATGAGCTAAATTTTTATTGGTACATAATAACTACTTGGAAATGTGGCCATCCTTAAGTGTGTGGCAGTTTGTGTACGGCCGAACATTCAGATGATTCAAGGAATCTTTTACGCGAGGTTTCTTCCTCAAGAAGGTATGTCGGTGTCTTCAGCTGTCTATCTATTTCATTTCATTCAATCATTTATATAGTCCAACTCATCTTGTAATGAAAAGAAAACAATATAATTCTTACAGCCATAACTTACATCTCATTTCACTTCACTTCATCTCATCTTATTCAGCTACTCTCACTTCAGTCTCATTCCAACTCTTATGATTAACTCACCAGATATCAGGAACCAAGATCGTAGCTCAATCCCCACCAGGATGTATCGTGGCAACAACATATACGCCGCATCTCAAACCACCCCTGGTCGACTTCGACATAATCCAGGAGTACATCATCCCGCGGAAAGCTTTCTTCAACCGGTTCATGACGGTAAACTCACCGGATAATAAATACAGCATCCTGCTATTCCCAGTCTCCATTCCCAATGAGAGATACCATCGTAACGAGTTCATATTCAACTTCGGGCTAGTCATAGAATCAGATGTAGACCAGATCCCGTACGAGAAGCTGGTGAGGCGTCTAGCAGTAACCTTCGCTGAGATGGAGCGTCAGCATGGGTACCTAAGCTCAGAAGGGCGGGTGGACGATGGCAGACGGCCCATCGAAAGCTTGCTAGAGATCGTAAAGGAAGACCTCAACAACTACGGCGAGTGTATGATCCCCGTCGACGACGCCAACACCCTCAATATGAAGCTTTTCCCTTACCACCCACCTCCCGCACATGTCCGCGGCTGGCATGTGCCCGTGCCCAAGATGAAACTCGCCGACATCGTCGACCCTACGTGGGACTTAACGCTGCAGAAGATCATCCCTCACGTTGATGGCGTCAACGACGTACGCCGCATCGCGTGGCTGGCCGACGTATCCTTACCGCTTACACAAATCGCGCTGCAGCACCTTCTATACTACGACACGATTCTCCTCTTAGACATGTTCTTCTTTGGTAGCTGCTACGCACCGAGGCCCGGCGTACACGATTTCATCGTCAACAGGGACGGTATCGTTGATGAGTGCTCCGGGTATGTATGCGTTAGCAATCCCCTTACTGGTAGCAGTAGTACTGTCAATACGTCGTCTACTACTAGCACCACCGAGGACGGACATGATACCGCAACGGATGCCGATGTAGGACGGCAACAGCAGCAGCAACAGCCGGTATCACACTACCAGCTGGTGAAGCTGATGACCACGTTTTGCGCAGGGCGCAGTGTCATGGAATGGATTAAGCTGCACCAGGATGCGGGATTCGACGTTCTCCGACACGTAGACGTGCGGCGGCTAGTTCAGTTCGGAGTGATCAAGGGGTTATTGTACCGGGTGCACAAGTATGTTGTGTCAAAGCAATGTCTTGAGGCTCTAGCGACAGGTAGACGCGTATTATCCAGAAGCGATGATGGTGAAGAGGATACATTGCTGCGATACGCTGATGGCTGCCACTGCTTCGACCAGATCATCACCGAGCAGAACATGACGGATGGCGAGATCATGAGGAAGCTGAGAAGTCTTGAACCGGGAGATCGCACCGTGTTCTACCGGTAGTGGGTTCACGGAGGCAAAAGTGATTATAAAAGAATAGCCGAATGGATGATTCGCTATGGTAGCAAATAGGTTATTCGATGGATCACAGCTCTAAGGCCGATTCTAAACTTCTCTCTGTCAGGCATACAATCACGCGCTCGCAAGAGTAACCAAGCAGATCAAACAGGTATATTTTGCTAGGCAGGCAGCATGATAGGCAACTATGTTAGGATTGTATACTATAGACTTCACTCTCGGCTGATGCCATTAAACTCCTATTTAATCGCTCTATTCTGAATTCTTTGCTATATATTATACCTCGTTTACAGTATCTGAAACCTTAGATACCGGGTATAACATGTCACTCCGCGCTGAAGCACCCTCTCTAGCGATACATACAGAAGACTATCATAATTTGAGGTGAATTTATTCGATTTTGCAGCCAAATTACAATTAACCTACAAAGTGGCGTGTTATGAAACCGTCTTTCTTAGGAGGTTCACCATCCGGCGCTCGCTTAGGCTCTTTCCTAGGCTCTTTCTTAGCCAGTTGTTGTTGTTGCTTTTGGAGCTTCCTAGCCTCTTCCTGGGTGCGGTATTCTACCTCTAGACGGGCCCTCTCCAGCACCTCGTCGATTGCCGCCGTCTTCACCTTAGTGGCCGTCGCCCCCTCCCTAGAGGGGATGTACATCAACGACTCTTTGAGGATCTGCCTCGCGCGGTTGCTGTCGACTTGGAGCGGCTCGGGTAGGAAATCCTCCAGCATGCCTCCTCTGTTTTGGTATATGGCTGTCGCTCCGTCCAGAAGCTTCTGCTTCGTCTCGGGGTCATTTACGGCGAGTTTCGTATCTTCAGCGGCCTTCTTCAGCATATCTTTCAGTAGTCGCACCCGACCCGTACCTGGTTCGCCCGGGTACATCGCGCCACTATCTGCCCATTCCTTATCGCTAACCATCTGGACTACTCGGACGAAGTGCTTTCCTCGCCGCAATATTAGGATTTTGCCATCGATGAGGAAATTCTTGGTATCCTGAGGAAACCAGTTCTTGATCGGCGTGTAGCTCAGCTCGCCGTAATGCATCCCTTTGTTGGAAGCCGAAGGTTGGCCAGGAGAACCACCTATATAGGCGCCCTGGTGTTGTGTTAAGCGATTACCATCACTGACGCTGTCCGCGAGGCCGGCAGCATATAGAATTCGACTTATCGACTTGCCCAAAATCAATGACTCGGGGAGTTTCACATCGACTTGAAAGCCAGATGCCTTATTTGCCGAGGCTGGCTCATTTGCTGGATATGAAGATATCTGGACATCGCCTGGCTTGGAGAATAGCCCCTTATGCCGGTTCTGTACATTCGTCGCTTCTTTTGTTCCGTAGATAAGCGCAACTACTTCGTGCGCAAGAGTATGCTGGGCATAACGCTTGGAAGGCTCTTCGTTGTGCTTCTCCATGACCTTACTAATTTCCTCCAACGGAAGGAAGGTAAACAGCTTCAGCAGACTCTCAACATCAGCATCAGGCCGTCGTATAAAGTACCCATATAGATCGAAAGTGCTGGTCATGAAATGGTCGAGCCAGACCGCGTTTCCCGCGCTCTTCCCAAACTTGGCACCAGAAGAATCGGTCAGGAGGGGAACTGTGAAGCCGACAGGCGTATGAAGAAAATCATCAGGAATTTGTTCAGCCGGGTTGGGAGTGCTAGCTCGGATGTGCTTGACTGCGTCGATACCGGAGATGATATTCCCGTATTGATCAGACCCGCCTATTTGCATTTGAACATCTTGTTTGTTATATAAATGCCACCAATCCCAGCCCTGCATTAGTGGATATACGAATTCATCCAACGACATGCCATCACCCTGTTCCATCTTGCGCTTGACGGTCTCGCGCGAGAGCATAGGCCCTAGTCGCATTCCCTTGAACAGCCGAGCTACGACCTCGATGAAGGGCAAGTTGTTATACCACATGCTGTTATTTACCAACGCCCGACTCCATATCCTAGGTTGTTTCTTATAGCCGAAACGTTCCCCTTGGGCCTCAACGTTCATCCATATACGCTTCAACTGGTAGTGCATCTTGGTAATATTCGTGGCTATGTCAGATTTAGAAATGGGTTCGCGGCTCTTTAAACGATCGGTAGGATCGCCGACCTTGACTGTAGCGCCTCCGACTACGCTAACAGCTCGGTAGCCATGTATATACATCCAGAAAAGAGGCATTAGAGGTAATAAGTGGCCGACGTGAAGAGAGGGTGCAGTAGGGTCAATTCCGACGTAAGCGCCTATCCTTTTCACCCTCATAAGCTCTCTAATTTGTTCATCGGTGCCGGCGATATCTTTGACGTATCCACGCTCCTTGAACATATCCCAGAGATGCGGTATCTTTCCCTCTTGAATCAACTTGGCTCTCTTGTCCCATATCTCCTTCGCTTCTGCCTGTTTTTCAAGAAACGAGGTGGATACTGATCTGGTTTGTTGCCGCCTTGCAGCTAAGGATTTAAGGAGGCATCTTCGACAAAGAGTTGAGGGCGAGCCTCGTACAGCGGAAAGGGCAGCGCTGGACAACATAATCCTCTGGGATGGCGCGGGCCGCCGATAGGAATAGAACCTAGGAATAGCGAGGGTAGGAATTTGAATTGGGGTGCAAGGGAAGACCCCACGACTCTAAGGAGCGAAATACATATAGTGGACGTCCAAATATTAGGATTTCCTAAACTTGGGGAGACGAGAAAATATAATAATAGGGAGAGTCTGGGTACATAGATGCACATGCACATGTAAATGTCGATTCTTGGACTTGGAAAAAATCAAAGCTTCAAAAAAGTTTAGTGGGGCTAAGATTATGTGCATATCGTTATCGATTATCTATTATCTATCTATCTGTACATGAGTACTTCGTACATCTACATAAGGTTCGTAACATGGTGGAAGTACAGCGTCATTATGTAATTCCTAGCCAGGCTTTTCCCGGGCAAACTCAACCAATCAGAAATAACTTATTTCTTTCGGTCCTCGGCAATTGAACATGTGGGAAATTCGCATTCCTTTGATTCGAACGCATCATCGTCGGCCTCAAATTCCACTCTACCCGTTAATACAGTTAATACCGTTAATCAATACTTTTTCTCTTCTCTTCTCCCCGCCCTCGATACATATCAGGGACCTAGAGACTACCTAGGTAGTTGAGCGAAGACATATAACGTCTAACTATCTCCTCGTCCCTCACAATCTCACAATGGCTTCCCTTGTTCGCCCCATGCTGCTTCGGCAGACTGCCCTAGCTGCCTCGACCCGACGAGCCGCAACCGCCACATTCTCCAGACAGCAGCTGATCCGACCGACGGTTTCGAAAGATGTCGCACGAGTTGCTGCCTTCCATGCTTCTAGCAGAAGAAGCTTGCTGCCCCCGGGACCTCGTACGTTGTTACCAGTCGCATTGCGATCTTGGCAATATTAATTATTAATATTGTATCCTTTACTAACACAATGCGCTCTTAGAGGTTATCAAGGGAACCGGTATGCGATTCTTAAATTCCCCCATTACCAATCGATAAATTAGAAATATCCTATAGTTTATAGTTTATATGGGAGATATCAAGATGGAAAATAGAAAATCAGGAAAAGCGACAAAGACAAGTAAAAATTGGCGCTAACCCCTCCGAATAACAGTCAACGACCCAGCGCCGATCCCCGAGACGAGCCCTTCCCACGGTTCATACCACTGGACCTTCGAGCGTCTCGTAGCCGCCGGTCTCATCCCGCTTACCATTGCGCCTTTCGCCGGCGGTTCGCTAAACCCCGGCCTCGACGCAATTCTATGCTCTCTACTGCTAGTCCACAGCCACCTCGGCTTTCAGTCCGTCATCATCGACTATATTCCTAGCAGCCGCTATCCCAAGGCCCGCAAGGCCGCTATGTGGCTCCTCAACGCTGCCACCGCCCTCGTCGGCGTCGGCCTATACGAATTCGAGACGAACGACGTCGGTCTAACCGAGGCCGTTAAGAGAGTCTGGAAGGCTCAATCTTAAATCAAAATTTGGGAAAAGAGAAATGAGTAAGAATTGCCTCGACTAGGTGGCGTCGAAGTGAGTGTTGCATGAGCAATGATGATACGAGGCTGAAGCATTACTTGAAGGCTCGAAGGAGAGGGAGCAGGTCGGATTGTGACATATGACATACCGCCACGAATTCCTATGTATCGGATCGTGCTTATCTGTTGGAACAGCTGGACTCGGATTAGGCATAGAAGGCTAGCAGACTTGCCCGTCCGTGTATCCAGTACAACTAGTATATATAGAACTGTTCTTCGCCTACGCATATATGCACCAAGTATTGTCAACCATATTGAGACAGCCGACAGAAATAAGTGGTCTACTATTGAACCGGCCAGGCTCGGATTTCGACCACACAGGATCCTTATCAAGTATAGTATTCACATAGACATTATCTACTCGAAGTTAATGAGTAGGTACACATACATACCCTTCTCGTAAGGGTAGGATTGTCCTATTTCATTTCTCTCTCCTCTTCCCTCGTCTATCCTCTTCACTCATCGTCCTCCCTGATGCTCATCCGCGCTCCCGTCCCTCTTTCCGAACCTAACGCCTAGGCCGCCGATATCCCTTCGGAAGAACTTACCAAAATTCTTCAGGTTCTCGTTGATACTAGCCGCGTTATTCTGGGCAGAGCCGCTGCTACCATTGGCGCCACCGGGTTGCCCCTGCTCGGCGGGGTTACCCATCCTCTCGACGCCGTCGCGCGCTGCATTCAGCAACTTCTCTCCTAAGGAGGCTGCGTCGAAGCGCGAAGCGGCGCCTTGTGCTGCCGTTGACAGAGCTGCTCCGGGTCCGGACGCTAGACGGTCGATGCCCAGACCCAAGTTCAGGTTATTGACACCGCTGCCGCCCGCGCCCGCCCCGCTACTGCCGAACCCAGGTGCGTTTAGCAGCGGCGTCAACAGCGGGCTCTGCGCGACCAACTTGCCACCACCGCTATTAGCGGGACCGTCACGGTGAATAGCGAATAACTCGATCAAGTGCGCGTGTTCCTGTTTGCGGATACCCTTAAGGTCGAGGATCTTGCGGAAGTTAGTATCGGAGCGATCGCCCACATGGATTAAGTACGCCTGCACGAGCCCCTCCGGCGGGCTTGGGCGAACCTGGAGCGTCTTCAAGAGCGGGTCGATGCGCGTCATCGTTGCATTGACGCGCTTGACGAAGCCTGCTGGAGGCACGTGCGGTGTCTGCGACGAGGAAGACGGGTTGTGGTGCGAGAGCAGGTTTTCCAGGGCTTTAGTTAAGACGTACTTGTCCAACAGCATCTGTTCGGCGCCTACTTCGGATATAGGTCTGCACTGGACGATGGTATGGACGTACGAGTTTGCTAGATGTTCCACTAGCTTGTCGGCGAATGCGCGCGCGTACTGCTGCTTAACCACAACAGCTAGGATTTCCTTTACCTTTGCATTGATGTGACCGACCAGTTCGCCCACGTAAGAACTCTGGTCTCCGACACTTTCCATCTTGCTCCAGTTCGTATTCTTCATCTCACGCCAGGCGCCCTCGCAATCTGCTTCGACTTTGTTGACAAGAGCTATGACTGCAGCACTGGCGACTCCCAAGAACGCGTCAGCTTGCGACGATAGGTCCACCTTTGGCACAAGATCGTGGTCTATACGTTTCTTGATATTCTCTTCGAGCTGTCCCGTGTTCGCATGCCAGAAATCCGCAGTGTTCAGGACAAGGATAATGTCATGGAGAGGCGCCCCTGTCGACCCTGACCTCTGTAAAATCGTGAGCAACACTTGTTGTGCATATTCATCAAGATATTTAGCCAATGTTTTTGCCAAGTCTAATAACCGCTCACTCGTCGAAAGCTTGGCGCATTGCGACAGAGTGAGCTTGTAGAAATGAAAGAGTTCGATGGCAGAGCTAATAACAGCTTGCGGTGAAAACTCTTCGTCGGCCGGTAATAAAGGTTGGGCTTTGTATTTAGGGATCATAGCCGCCAACGCCTTGTCTTGGGACTCTACCCATAGACTTAGATAGGGTTCGAAGGCTACAGATATCGACCCATTGAAGCTCTGCGTTCTTTCGTCCGCAGAGCTAAGTGTGTCAATACTTGCCCGTGGCTCGTTTGAAAACCTCCGTTCCAGGGTCTGCTCGAAGTCCATCGTCTCCTGAAGGCAACTCAGTAGGAGGTTAACATCAATCTTGGCACCGTCCACCCTCCTCATGCTCTTTTCCAAAATGCCCTTATAATCGTCTCTCGTACCATCGCAAAAAGCCATAGCCAGAGTCTCGCCAACTCGCCAGTGCGGTGGGAATATGCCAGCATGTTCCTCCTCGTAGCTCTTGACCATCCTCTTGAACCAAGCGTACCGCCTTCCAATATTATCCAAGCTTCCAGCTTCATCATTACCTCTGAATACTTGGCGGTATTCCCGCAACTCGGTGTTGACGTACCACGTTATTAGTCTCGCCCTCGCATTGTCCCCGAGCGCATCCATAACCCCGCAAGCCTCGACCAGTGTCGCCTTCCTTGGCCCGACCTCGCTTTTAGCGAACGCTATCTCGAAATCCTCGCATACTTGCTCCAGCAGTTCCCTCTGTAACTCGCCCACGCCTCGGCTGAGTGTAGCGATCTGGTCTATACTTCTGTAACTGTTGAAGTGGCGCATAAGTTGTAGTACCGCCTGTAGGAGGCTCGCGCATTCTCTGTATTGTCTCGTCTTGGCCAACCCTCTTAGCTGTTCATAGGCCGTCGTCAACATCTGTAAGCGCTTAAGGGCCGTCATGGATAGTGTCAAGTTTCGTTTCGTGCCATCGAGTCGCTTGATATCGGCGGTCATGGAGGTAATATTCTGCTCAGTCTGAATAGCACGTGAGCGCACCGTTTCGATCTTCTTGAAGAGACCAGCGAGTTCGGCCTGGGCGGATTGCATGCGCTCGAGGGAGGAATTGGGTCCGTAAGCCTGGGCCGTCTGGAGGCTTGATATTTCGGCTGAGAGGTCATTGTGGCGGGATTGGAGAGTTGACGATACTCGGGTTATGGATGATACGGTAGAAGGATGAGAGAAAAGTAGGTTGAGGTGCTGAATTGGATCATAGTCGGCTAGTCTTGTGTGTTAGCTAGTCAGCGAGCCCCTTTCTCGTATATCTATATCCATATATATCCAAGTGTCCCCAAGTCAGGGGTTATAAATTATAAAAAGAAATACATAAAAAACATATGAGAAAGAGAACTGACCTGCGTCTAATGACGGCGGCTCAGATGTGATGCCGTTCATCTTAAGCAACGAACCCCAATTTTGGTGAGTCGCATTGGGTCATACGTGGTGGTAGTTTGGAAGTACGAAGTATTCCACAAGTATTCCACAAGTCTTAGATATCGCTGTAACTTGTCTTGGCTTATACGATGACGCCGCTAACACATAAGGCATAAGGCACATAAGGCACATAAGGTTATGCATTAAAGCTGAATCCGGTATCATTAGTAATCACGTGTTACTCAGTTTATCGATAAAGTGGTCCCTCACCTTAGGTATTCGTTTTGGTCACCTTAGCTCACCTCCCCCACTCTGCAAAGACGGGAAGATCCGGTCCAATCAATGATGAATTCGCTATAACTTCACTTACTCTTTTTTTTTTTTTTTTTGGAAAGGTGCCTAATTGGACCCGGTCCTTTCACCGAAGGTCCATGGAATATAAGTCCAACTATTTTATTGCAATCAAGCGCATGTCTTAGGTACTTTATAAAAATATTTAAAATTCTTTCTTTCCTAACCAACCTATCGAGTCTCAGCCATCTCCCGACAGAATCCGCACCAATCCCCCTCAATGCATCATGCAATCCTCCTTTATGCCTCCGTCTATTCACAATGGTCTTGTAACTTCAAGGAAGCGCTTCCGGTATCTCTGGTATATTTAATCTAAATCCCCTCTTCCATCTTTCTCGGGTTCTGTTGATTGGTGCATCCCTGCCTATGATATCGCCGGGTCGAAAATGCAGAAGGCCATCTGTGTATGTGTATCTCCTTAAACAACTCCAGCTCTCGAGTGATGCAATATAAGCATGATATGCTGTCTCCAGAAAAGCCAAATCTTAATGCATCTACCCTATAAATAGAAATTTAACGCCATGAAAATGCAAACAGCCATAGTGACCGCCTCAACTCCGTTTACCAGGTGTGTGTGTGTGTGTGCTAAAAGCCCAAAATATCGATTCGTTTACGAACTATGCAACGCTCGGAATCCGGCCGCGATCAAGCTTCGAGATTTTTCTCGGGAATCAGCGGGACCGGACCAATAGAACAGGCCCTACAATATCCAAGTTAGAAACATTCCAGGTAGTATCGTAAAGCTGTTCCGGCGGCGTCGATAATTAAAGGGGTTACGAAAGGAATAACAGAAACATACCCCGAGTCCTTTTTGTTTGCAATATGCCGCCTTCATCTTGACGGTATCCGGGTTATCGTAGGTGACAAATCCACCATCACCTCCGACACAACTCGCAGCCCCTATTCGTTTATCCACAGATTCTTTGGCATGTTTTCTTGGCAATGTGTTATATTCGAATACGCCATCTTCGCCTCCTGCGCCTTTGTTTCGATGTCCTGGTCCGCTAACCCCGAGAAAGCTCCGTCCGTAAAGGGGAATACCCAGCAAAATCTTTCTAGTCGGACAGCCGTGACCCACAAGGTATGAGACACCAGACGATGCTGATGTCTCGTCCTTGCTCATCGAGTACAGTTGGGCCTGGTGCCCGCTTCGTTGTGACCAGGCACCGCAGAAGTCATACGCCATCAGATTTACGTAGTCGAGATAGGACGCAGCTTGCGCAATATCGATATTATGCAAGACTGAGCGGCTTGCTGGGAGAGCTGCCGTAACGAAGAACTGCTCCACCGGAAGTTGGACCCGCACGGCGGCCAGGAGCGCAACGAAGTCGGCCCCTTGCTGGGGGTCCATGGGATATTCCCAGTTTACTAATTACGGGAGATCAGTAAATTTGTAATGTAACATGATGTTACCTTCCGGCGAGATGTGGGGGGAGGGGAAAGGAGAAGTCATACTATCAATACCATCCATACCGGAGGCCTCCACCAAACCTCGTGCTGATCGCGCAAAGTTATCTCGTAATAGAGCATCCGAAGCAACGACTGGGAATGTCTCAGTTGAAGTACCGCCGCCGATCGATATGGTGACTTGCAGATGCGGATGCTTCTGCTTAAGATGCATCAAAGATCCGAGGCCACCATGAACGCCATCGCAAGGGGCTTGGGTATCTGCCCACTCATCGCTCAGCTAGATTAGATATTAACATCAGGATTCCTACCGTACGTAACTTTGGAGTATGCAGTTGGAAGCAAGTAAATTTAAAACTTACAAACACAGAACCGTCCGCCGCTACGTTAGCGAAAGCGTAGTAC